AAAAAATCTAATGTAGTTAAAAGGAAAATGCTGAGGTTTTTGTCACATAAGCTAAGACAGTCTTGCCGCCTTCACACTGAATGATTTTGCTTACATGTCACCCTCCCATTCTTCTCAGCAGCACAGTGAAAAGGTCCATAGTACTCTGATGGTGTCCTAGCAGCTCTTTCACAGTCAGACAAATCAGCATGCAGGGCGGGCAACATTCATCTGCTTCAGCAATAAACACACGCACACAAACTCACAACTCTCCCAAACAGCCGTCTGGGTGCCTTTAAATCAGCGAAGCATTGCAGGCCGAGAGACATGAAAGGAACAAAACTGCCATAATAAGCTGGAGGGCAAAAGCTGTGTGGGTGCACGATCGCATGTGCTTGTGTTGATGCGTTCGACTCAAAAATTTCAAAAGGGAAAGATGCATATCCGACGTGCACAGCCATTTTCCTTTCTGACACCGACTGTGGCCGTGTCCTTACACTTTGTGCTGGTTCTGCTTTGCTTTCCTTCCACGGCCGGCTGTGTGATTCTGTTTCATAGCTTTACTTAAATAAGTCATTTCACACAGTCAGTGGTTTATGAAGACTAAAAAGGACTTATCAGCGTAAAAACACTATCAGTAAAATGTGCTTCAAAGTAAGACGTGCGTATTTTATTATTAGTTGCATAATTAGATCAGAGATTTTTTTAATGATGCTGCTGATTCCAATCTTGCATGATTCCTTTTCCCCTGAAGACTATCAGTGACACACAGACCTGTTCAACTTTTTCCTGTACTTTAAACAATACCGACTAATCTGAGCCAAGTTGGAGCTAATAGTTTAATTAACTGAAATTAAAGCAATGTGAAAAAATAAAGAAGGTTTGTAGAGTTGTACATTGCTCCCAAGTGCCAAAATAAGCAAGCTGAAGCATAAACGCCAAAAACTGCAGTTCTTCTAATGGCCACTTGAGGCTGGCTCTGAAAATCATCCCACCAGACTCCTGTGTTAAAATGTCTGATTTTACAGCTTTAAAAAGTACGTTTACAGCCTGGTACTAAAAACAGCTTAGTTCTCTAGAGTTAATTTCCCCCTTCGTATTTACTGAACACAGGGTTGTTTTTTATAACTCATTCCTAATAGATTGATTTTACTATTTTTCAGCTTAATGTTTGCAACTTGCTAACCTAGCTTGTTAGCATTGGCTGACAGCTTAGCCGTCCACCCTCTGGTCAAGTTATGGTCACTTCTGGCTCCAAAAGCCCAGTTCACTACCAATATGCAACTGTGTGGAGTCATAAATCTGCCTCAGATATTACTAAATTATAGTACTTTAGTAAATGCACTTTGTTAATTTGAGTATTGCCCTTTTCCTGGGAAGCCAAAGGCTTTAAACAAAAAAAGACCCTGATCAGCAGAACACTTGCAAAAGCCCTAACAAGGAGGTTCATTTCCAGGCCAAACCACCACAGGCCTGCAGAGGCTACACGCGGCCTCGGCTGATCAGCCGTGAAGAATCAAGTTCTTAACACGTTTCCTTGACTTTAAATGCTGAGTTGTTGGGGGATAAATGCCTCGGTTACAAGCTTACTGTCACAGATTCACTCTAAAACAATGGATTCTGATTTTAAGCAACAATTTTTACGAGAAATATACCTCACAACTCTAGATATACATTTCAAGCTGCAAACAGACAAAATTTAGAGAGGCCAATTATTATATGTTATGGTTGCAGATCTTAATAAGCAAGAACAGCACAGTCTACTCTGAGCACGGAGTTACACAAACATGAGCTAAAGAAGCTCAGTAAGAGATGACTGGGAGATGCTGGCATGGCTTGAAAAGGTTTCCAAATTATGTTTTTGAAAACTAACTTTGTTCTTTACAAACTGGAGAGTCTCCAAAACAAGCATTTGTGTGGCTGAGTGCAGCTGCAGATAACAGAGTGCTGAAATCCTCTATTCAGGAAAACTCGATTACACGCTGGGAAACGGGCGTCACGTCTGTGCATGTTTTTTACATACTTAGCATAGCTCAAATCACAGCACACACTAACACATAGGAAAGCCACACATGTGCACACACACACACAGAAACTATTCACATCCGGCCTCAGCAGGCCTTCAGTTACATAACAAGAGACACACACACACACACACACTTGAAGATGAGGACAGGCAGCTGAACAGCGAGAGGAGGCACATCGCCCTGACTCAGTGAATCCGCCAGTTTCGAGAAATGACCAGTACGCTGAGGCTTTAGTCCTGTAATGCCATGACGATTAGCTCAGCGGTCACAGGTCCTCCTTCACACTGACTGGTGACGCAGACAGAGTCGGCACAGATTCATGCTTTGCTAACACGCTGCTGCTTTAAGTGGCTTTCACTGTGAACAGTGTGAGCTGCTCTGACAGTCAACAACAACTTTACATAAGACAAAACAACCAATTTGAATCCCAAAATTCAGAGTTCTGGAAACACGTGACTTTAGAATAAAAAGCATATCCACCACAACATATTTATCAGCAATCAGAGCTTACACAATCACCTGTTGATGGGCTGGAAATGGCCAGTTGGAACATTTTAACATATTGTGCAACTTAAAGAACAGCAGATAAACACACTGCTATTGTAAAACTTATGTTGATTCTATAGCTGCACCCCAGTATGAGTGTAATGACACGGTTTGGGCCCTTGGGTTGACTTAGGTTAATACTCTGACGCTATAAGCATCAGCCTAAGCCTGCTGATCTTCACGGCTCTTCCTTGATCTCTTTCTGTCTTTAATCAGTGAGTTCAGTAAATTTC